CTTGCCTGTTCTATATGTTAATTTTCAAGAAACTTTGTCAAAGAATACCACATTGTCAACTCGGAAGAAAGAAATAAAAGCTTTTCGAATGATAGTTTTCTACAAACACTAGTCTCTATCCACTATCATCCTTTAGTAAACTTGGATTCTTACACTTGTTATTCTTTGTAAAAAAGAAAAACATAATTGAGACAAAACTTAATGTGAAAACAAATGTAGTGACCCCGGACAGTAGTTATGAAACACCGTCGAGTTTACTCTGTTATAATCATATAGATTGCAGAATGTAGGCCTTTTTTTAAAAAAATATCCGAAAGGTTATAACTGCCATTTTTTATTTGGAATGTTAGCTGAATATATAGTGTTTATCATGTGATACAGATGGCATATTTTTGGTTGAAGTTGATCGGTTATTGCGACCTGGTGGATATTTTGTCTGGACTGATCCAGTTATAAATTCTCAGCGCTCCCTCCGCAATAAAGAAAACCAGAAAAAATGGAATACAGTGCGTGGGTTTGCTGAAAATCTCTGTTGGGAAATGTTGCCACAACAAGATGAAACTGTAATGTGGAGGAAGGCAAGCAAGAAGAATTGTTATTCAACGAGGTAAGGCAACCAGCACAACACCTTTTTCTTCAATTTTTTTTTTTTGATTTACTTTTTCTTCATTTCTATGGTGCCCCTGTTACTTATTTATACATATGTTTTTATTACGTATATATCATCTTTCTCAAATGAGAAGTCATCTATAAGATATCCTTCTATTTTAAGAAACAATATTTTATGTCTAAAATCTGTTGAAAAATATAGTGCTTCCCGAACTATCCTTTGAGTTTCTTATTATATTCACCCGGTTCCATATGAGTAAGATAAACGACTTTGCGATCAGAAAAAAATTTGTAGGTTGACTATTCATGCTGGACTATAATTTTTTCTCTGCTCCAAGTGAGGGAATGTTGTTTATCTGGAATGGAGTGTGTTAATCTATAATGTTCACAGCTGAGTACATGTATCAGTTGTACATCATTCTAATGCTTGAATTGCTTGCTTTTATTTCTAGGAAACCTGGTTCTGGCCCCTCTCTTTGCAGCAAAGGCCATGACGTTGAGTCCCCATATTATCGACCTCTCGAAGCATGCATAGCAGGCACTCAGAGCCGTCGATGGATTCCTATTGAAGACAGGGAAAAATGGCCTTCCCGGGCTAACTTGAATTCGAAAGAACTTGCTATTCATGGTAATAGACCAAATTATTCGACACTTTGTGCGTTATGATTTTTCTGACGTTGAACACTTCAAATGTATTGCTACATTTTTGTTTGTGCATAAATGTCAACGTGATAGTAAATATCTCACTGTATCAGGTCTGCATTCAGAAGCGTTTGCTGAGGATGCCATTAACTGGAAGTCAGCAGTCCACAATTATTGGTCTCTGCTCTCACCTCTAATATTCTCTGATCATCCAAAGAGACCTGGCGATGAGGATCCTTCTCCACCTTACAATATGCTGAGAAATGTCCTAGACATGAATGCTCACTTTGGCGGTTTCAATGCGGCCTTATTAGAAGCTGGAAAATCTGTATGGGTCATGAATGTGGTTCCTACGAGGGGAACAAACAATCTACCTTTAATCCTCGACAGGGGATTTATAGGCGTGTTGCATGACTGGTAAATTTTACCTTCTTTTACATGGCATGAACAAGCTTCACTTTTTTTACCTATATTGACTATCTCTGAATGTAAATATTTTGTGCAAACTCTTGGATATTTGTTGCTTCCATCTTTACTCTGGAATCTTTTTATATGATTCATTTTCTGGAATCTTACCCTGAGCAAGAAGCTTGTCCCTTCCACAACATTTTTCTGTGGAGGCAATATAATACATTTAAGACAATAAAACACGTCAGTTTCTAATTCTATGCAGACTGGTTTTTTTCAACCATGTCTGGCTGAGTCTATAAACATTATACAATTCTGATGATGCTGAGCTTCTCCTTCCTGTTGTGTACTAAGATTACTGTATATAGAAANCCCCCCCCCCCCCCCCCCCTCTCGAATTATCCTCCTCGGTCCTCACCAACTACAAAACAAAGGAGAACCTTAGAGAGAGAGAGAGAGATGTCTTCTGTCTTCAGAAATTGGCACAATCAGAGAATGCACACATGACTACCTCCTAATTAGTCCTGAGAAATCAATTGAGGGGTAATTGGCAGCGAGAAAACCTCTGGACCTCACCTATCTGCTCATGATAAATTGGAATAACATTGTTTCCCTTGTTTAGTCAAAAATTGGGTTATATTGAGTACTGGATTAACTGAAATTCAGTCTCTTGCTTCTATTCTCATTCATTCTTGGTTCTTTTGTCTCAAATGTATTTAATGCTTTCACAATCTCTAATATCTTTTTGTTTATATAACTTGTGCTCAGGTGTGAACCGTTCCCTTCCTATCCAAGAACATATGATCTGGTGCATGGTGAAGGAATTCTCTCTCTTGAATTTCATGAGCAGACCAGATGTCGCATGCGAGACCTATTCACTGAGATAGATCGTTTACTTCGTCCAGAGGTATCCTTATGATTTATTGTTGTTCTAAATTCTTATCTGGGTTGCCATTCCTTCCTTTATATGGTTTGACCCAAATATTAAGAATAATCACTTTGGGATAACGTAATCTTCTGCATGACACCACTGTCATCTTGATTCCTACTATGGCTAGAAGACGTTCCATTCATTGTCTTTGTTCTACCTAACCTATAACCTTTAACTCGAACGCAATACCAAAGGTGAAACATCTTCTACTGAAAAAAAAATAAGAATACGTATACGTTAGAAAGCATTCAATCCACACTGGCAACGCACCAAGATCTCTTGGATGGGTCCTCGCTTGCAAGGAGTGAAATCAATCAAGAAGGTTTTGACTTACGATTTATCCGTCTCCTAATATCAAGTAAAACCATGTCATCACTTATTTATACCCAGAGACCTCATTTTGGATTTCTTATACGCTCATTCTTGAAAATTAGAAAAATGAGGACTTGGAGACGAATGGATTCCATAGTACATTTCCTTCCCATGATTGCATTATAGTACTCTTGCAACCATTCATATGGCATGTCTTCTCTCTTTAAAATATTGTCGTATAATTTTTTCAACCATTGGCCTTCTATTTTGCTAATGGACATGTATGTGCAGGGGTGGGTGATTCTAAGAGACCGTGCTGCTCTTATTGAGTACGCAAGATCTCAGACAACAATTCTGAAATGGGATGCACGAGTCGTAGAGATTGAGGGCAATAGCCACGAGAAACTCCTAATCTGCCAGAAACCTTTCTTCAAAAGACAAGCAAGCTAATTCTCAAGTTGGCTAGGAGCCAAACATCATAGTCGATGATAATATTCACATTCTTTCGGAATCGAAAGTTACTGTCCTTAAGTTCCACAGAAACGGTGGATTGAATTTTTTTTTTTTTCAAACAGAAAGAGGTAGCGGGGAGCAAAAAACACATATGGTTGGTCAAAACGAAACTCCTATGGAACCGTAAGGTACACATAGGGACATGTAATTACACAGTTGAGGCACAGACAAGTGAAAGAAGTGTAGGATTATGCACAAGTTTCCTTTTGATGTCTCCTTATAAATGAAACAAACACATGATAAATTTAATTGTTAAGATATTACACAATAAGCAAAGTATGATCTGCTATAGTGTATAGAATGCTTAGACTAATATTTATTTGAGACCTCTCTTTTTCCCATTTTCTTGTGTTTCACCTCTGTTACACTATACTCATTATTTTGTGTTATGCTACTTTTCTGCCTCTCTGTGTTCGTCTAAAATTTATAAAGTTAAACGGTCACTTAAACGATCTATTATGGAATAGTAGTGAGTTTTATGAAATGTGTGGATAATATATGGGTAGTTGTTAAGAATGTGATTAAAATTAATGTTCGACTCCGATTGAAAATTATAAGTTATTAATAAGTTTAACCATATATAGGCTATAAATTCAAAAGCTTTAGGACATAGTATCCATAAGTAAATTGAGGACCTAGTTGCAAATTTCAATTTCACAGTTGCATGTAAATTTTGCTTTTGGAGGGTTAATTACAACAATGGTCACTGAAGTTATTTTTTACGGTAATAGTCACTCAAATTTGGTCACTGAATCAAAAATCAACATTAAATCCTACGGACATCATTAAGTTCCCACGTGTCACCAAGTGACATTATCATGGAAAAACAGCGAAATTGGAGTTGATAATTTGGCATTAAATGTTCATATAAGAAAACATGATGAGACTTTAATATTGATCAAATCTTTGAACGAGGACTTTTACTGATTTGGTGTTATAAATTACATCATTTGGTGACACACTTAACGGTGTTACGTATTATTTAGAACCAGTTCGGTGCAGATTTTGGAAATGAGAAATTGATTTTTTGTCCGTTACCTTCTGACACGTGACACAGATTTTGCAGCTTTCTTTGAAATAGTTACCGTTGAACCACGTAACGGTCAAAAAATGACCTTTAATCCAATTTTTAAGCAATATCAGACAAGCCCTTAATGTTACATTGGTTCCGAATTTCTTGGGAACCGATTCATTTGGAAGCATGTCCACCCCTAACATTAAGTTCAAACTCCGAGTCTCCTTTCTTGTTCAAGTTTTACTGTTACTTTAGAGATGTATTTATAGCAATAATTTGCTAGAACTTTGACGACCTGGGAATTCAATAGCCATATTGTTGAAACGTTCCCGATAACATCATAATGAACTTAGTGCTTATGGTTGGCAAAACATCATGTCCTTATTACAACCTGGAAACTAGTGACATCAAATGGAGCCGGGAAACAGAAAGCAATTCTTTTAGAATGGACCATCAATGGTAACTGAAATTTGAATACTAAATCAAGAACTGCTGGTTTACAATTAAAAATTCAAAATACAATAAGCAAAGAAACTGTTTTTCAAGCTAGCACCCCAAGAACTAGGAATTCTAACGGGAAGAAAACGCAACTGACTTTTCCATCAGAGAAGAGTGATGGTTAGAACGGCTTTTTGCTCCATGCCTGCTCTGGCGAGCTGCAGTTGCACTGCTCCTGCGCAGAGTGGAGGATGACGAACCCCCTCGACTCGCCCTCTTCACTGCTTTTCCTCGAATGCTCCGGATGCTATTCCCAAGTGCAGCTTTAGCAATGGCTTCCGAGCCTACCTCTCGTAGCTTGTGTGGATTTATAGTCTGCTTATTGAGGAAAACCAGTTTTGGGAGAAGACTGCATATGGCCTTGCGCAATTGATCATCACCAATATTGTTGTGAACAGGATTGCCTAATAGATTTAGAGCTGCCAGAGAATTGGAGTTTGCCACAAGCTGACCAAATGCTTTTGTTGTGGTTATTTTGTTAAAGCTCAAGTCCAATACGGTCAGCTTCAGAAGCCTATGCAGACCCTCAACATTACTTATTTTGTTGCCAGCAAGATAGAGCTCCTTTATGAGCATACAATTCGACAACCCTGGCATGAATTTAAAAAGCTCCATTAGCAACACAGAAAATATTAATCGAATGATATTTTCTTTGAAAACAGTTTCTGTAATTTTATGGAAAGGGTTGCAAAAGATATTTACCTTGACCAATTCTAGAAATTCGATTGTAACTGAGGTCAAGCACCCGGAGTCGAGTTAAGTCTCTCAGACCTTCGATTGTGCTTATATTGTTCTTGGACAGTTTAAGAATGTGGAGACCCTTTGGTAGAGATCCTGGAGTAATATGACCTGCAAAATTGAGGGGAAAAATCACTAAAGATCGATCCAATAAGTCATCTACATCCGAACATGGATGTCACGCTAGAAATTGATCTGGCAATAACTGAACGACACACACCTATCGAATTGGAAGACAAGTTGACTGATCGAAGGCTAGAGAAATGAGAAACGGATGGTATAACTTTCAGTCCAATGCCTGTAATATGTGCCACAGTCGACGAAGAATTCAGAGACTGGACAACGCTGTTGGCATATGTAATCTCCTCAGGAATCATTGCAGCTGGACTCCGAGTTGGTGGTGATCTATTATTCTCGGGAGAGGGAGGGAAGAAAATGCTATCTTCAGTGTGATCACCATTGTTGACTTCAAATGGAGGCTGCACTGAAACTTCTTTCACCCACTCATCGATTCTTTCAAATGGAGACGATTCTGTAGGAAAAGCAACCCACTGGTTTTGAGGCCACATACCAGAAACTCCATAAAATCCATCCCAGCTTTGGTTGTCTATGTTAAGGATGTCTTTACCCTTGCTTTCTTTGCTAAACTTTTCAGCTTTTCTTGGCTCTATGGTGTCTGAACAGTAGCCACCTTGTTGGTTGAGGGCGGGCTCAACTGCAGCTGGCCGTGGTTTTGTAGGCTCGTATCTATGCAGGTTCCTGTGGCTCCAGAGGAACAATTTCCACCACAATTTTCGACTTCTGGAGGGAAGTATTTGACTCGAAGAGTGCTTCTTCAACATCACTTTGTCTGCGCTACGTTGAGTCATAACAGAAACAGGAGTTGGAGGATAATCCAGAATTTCGTCCTGGAACCTTTCTGCTAAACTTTGTATTTCCTCGAAAGACTTGGATTTAGGAGGCGGCATCAGTTCATCCAGCGCATAATTCACATTCCTTATCAACATATCAGAGCACGAGCGCTTAAGCATTGGAGAAGCCCAAAATTCCGTCTTCCCAATGCCGGGATCACTAACATGTCCACTTCTAATCATCTCAACGCCAGCCTTGGAATCTTCATCTACCTCCTTTGGGTACTCATTATCTATAGGCATCCCTTCAAAAGTTTGATGTTTTTCTTCATTCGAGTTTTCAACATGAGCTTGTAGATCAAAATCTGAGTTGTCTCTCTTCATCGATAAATTCTCATCATGCTCATCTCCCCCTTCGTAGTCTATCTCTTCACCATCACCTCCAACCGGACTCTCGTGATTCATTACCTTCACCTTGCACCTAGAACTCTTCGGAATATGGAGAGGAACCGGAACACTAAAAGAAGCTGATTTCAACTCGGAAGTTTCCGAAGTTTTGTTAAGATGCTCGAGCTTCACGTGCAAGGTTTTGACTTCCTTTTCCTTCCACAAGCACAGATGCAATCGAGATTTTTTTTAAAAAAAGAGCATAATATAACTAAGAACAAGGAAAGGGCTCAAATCATTCAAAGAAAATGCAAACAAACATGAATTAATCAGATAATTCTTACCTTATCTTTCTTTTTCCTCCATGAAGAACAAAAACAGTTCATAGAGGCCATTCTCTATCAATATCACTCCAAACTTTCCTCGAGAACTGAAATTCTAAATATCTTTTAAAAGATCATATATCTAAGAAAACAGGGCTCTATGCAGTCTATGGGAAGAACAATTTTAGATACTGGAAATCAGATTGGATGGCGATCATTAGCCATAATCAACGGGCAGTCGCCAAAGCAATGACAGATTACAATCCGATGAATGTAAAGATGGAAGTGAAATTTGGCGGTGGTGTTCTCTTGTTTCGGCCCTAGCCCATTTCGAGGAGTCAAACGATTTTTCTGGTAGAGGGTCGGCCAGAGTGAAAAACTCAGCAATTTTTCTCTAGAAGCTTCACCATATTTATTCCTGCATATCCCATAAATTTGTCAAGACTCAATTCAAAAGAATAAACATTAAACACATAAAGGTTTCGAGTTCTTGCCCACATGATAAGACTAAAGTTAAATAATAAGTGTGTTGTGGAGGACAGTGAACTTTTAGTACGAACATTTTGGTAAGAAAAACCCATACGAAGAGAATTCAAGAAACACGTGCTTGGAGACCACATCGTAAACAAACTGTTTCATTTTTGTCAGAAAAAAAGGAAACCTGAGCGGGTTTGGAAACGCAGGAAATTTCCATTTTAAACATAAAATCTTGATTTGAGCAAAGTTCGGTTAAATTAAGGAAAAACAAAGGAACGCAGATCCTTAAAATCTGGAAAGGACTGTAGGCAAATAAACAATATTTTGAGCAGAAGTAAAAATAAATGTTACCCAATGAAGATAAACTGTGCCAGGTTGAGAATTTCGCAATTCAAATCTTTTGATGTAGTACTTCTCAAACTGCAGCTATGCCTGTGAATGCGTATGTAGATATGAGACTAATTGAGAGAGATGAGAAGGTAATAATTGCAGGCGTGGGGAAGGATTTATAAAAATAAGAGGAAATATTCAGAAAGAGACATATATTACGCGGATGCGACGCGCAAGGAACAGCCCCCAAACCTTTCTCATCTACTGCCTGCCCTGGTAACTACTAAGTTGTAAATATTATGTTAATATTCTTTTATTTTGACTTATTGTCCAAAGACCTTCCCCAGTCTCCCATTATTCTTTTTAATTTATTTTTAAGCTTAGCCAAACATGCTCCAAGAGGGTGTTCGATAGTACTTCTAAGTTCTAAGTTGTGAATCTTGTAAAATGTGTGAATGATAAATTTCAATGGATAGAAAAAGTGTTTCATTAATCGAAAAATTGCAGCAACGGTCCCTAATCTTTTCGACTTTTATGGACATTACCCTAACTTTCAATTTGTGCCAGCGAAAGTTCCCAACATTTCAAAAATATGCATCTAAAATCCAAATGGATGAAAGCCATCCAATTGACTGTTAATTGACCAAAAAATTTGATTTTGATCAAATTTAGCAAGGACAAATTGATAATTTAATTAATCTCATATTATAAAAATAAAGAATTAATAAGAAAAGAAATGAAAAAAAAGGGGTTAATTTCATAAACAGTCACTGAAGTTATCTGAAAATCACAAAACGGTCACTGAATTTTCAAAATTTTTGGACAAGTTTTGAGGCGATTTTCCGGCAACTTCTGACCACCAAGACCCCTGGATTTGGATACCGTTAGAAATCTCACAATGTCCTCTTCAATTACCATAAAAAATCTCCTCATAAATTCAAGGGATTCGGCCGAAATATACCCACGAAGTCGGCTACCGAAAAATCTGAAAATCTGCCCAAATTTTCAGATTTTTTGGGTGAGTTTGCGATAATTTTCCGGCAACTTTCGACCACCAATACTGCCAGTTTCGGATACCGTTGAAAAGCCCACAATATCCTCTTCAATTACCACCAAAACTCTCCCCGTAACTCCAAGGGATTCGGTCGGAATAAACACACAAAGTTAGCTATCAAAAAAATCTGAAAATCTGCCCAATTTAGGTAGCTGACTTCGTGGGTTTATTCCGGTCGAATCCGTTAGAGTTATGGGTAGATTTTTCGTGGTAATTGAAGATGACATTGTGGGCTTTCCAACGGTATCCGAAACTGGCGATACTGGTGGTCAGAAATTGTCGGAAAATTGTTGCAAACTCGCCCAAAAAATCTGAAAATCTGGGCAGATTTTCAGATTTTTCGGTAGTCGACTTCGTGGGTATATTTCGGCCAAATCTCTTGGAGTTATGGAGAGATTTTTGGTGGTAATTGAAGAGGACATTGTGGGTTTTCCAACGGTAACCAAATCTGGCGGTCTTGGTGGTCGGAAGTTACCGAAAAATTGCCGTAAAACTTGCCCAAAAAATCTAAAAATTCAGTGACCGTTTGTGAAAGAAATTTAAACTTCAGTGACTGTTTCTGCAAGTTTTAAATTTCAGTGACCATTTTGTGATTTTCAGGTAACTTCCGTGACCGTTTGTGAAATTAACCCAAAAAAAAAAGTTATCCTTCACCACCAATGCCTTACCACCTCCGATACTCCTACAAATTAACTACGAGCTGAAACCAGCAAAGCAATAAAACCACCATTCTTAAAAGCCCACGCATCGCTTCCACAATTCAGTCCCTTTTGCTTTTCAAAACCATCCCCAAAACCTTCTTCTTCCCTTTCTACAGCGGCGTAAGCCCTTGTTTCTTCATCAACCCGTCTAAAGACCCCAAATGGCGGCGGATATGACCTCATCCTTCGAAATGGTTGACGGACCCATGCTTAGTGTAATCAAGAAACGCCATCTAGTCCTCCGCAAAAAGTAAAACTGCATTCTCCAAATGGAAGAATCCCCTGCCCGAGGTAAAACTCACAATGAGGAACAAGAAGAAACAATGCACTCCAAATCTACAGTCCTTGCTGGCATCGACGCTTCGCCAGCCGCTCATGTCCGTTCTCTCCTAGGAATTTTCTCTCGCTTTGGAAAAACTTCAAAACCCGAAACCCCAATTGGATAACATCCAATTGAAGTGAACCTAGTCGGGGAAACACGGAACATCGAGGAGAAGAAGCAGGCAGAATAGAATGGCGTTTCTGAAATTTCTGATTTGCAAGGGTGGGGGTGAAGAACTTTTTTTTTTTTCCATTTTTTTATATTATTTTTTATTTTTATAATATGAGATTAATTAAGTTACAATTTGCCCCTACTAAATTTGGTCAAAATCAATTTTTTTGGTCAACTGAATGGTTTCCATCCATTTGGACTTCAGATACATATTTCTGAAAGTTTAAAGACTTTTAGCTTACACAAATTGAAGGTTAAGGTAAAGTTCGTAAAAATTGAAAAGGTAAGAGATCGCTGGTGCAATTTTTCATTCGTTACTTAAGAAGTGCAATATTAACAATACAAATATTGAAACTTCAACGGAATGTAAGAGCGTGTTTGAGTCACATTATTTTAGAATAATGTATTTTAGAATAGTAGATTGATGGAGAATGTGTGATTGAAAAAGAAGGAGAAATTATTGATGTGATTGAAAATAAGAAGAAGAATAAGGCCTTGTTTGGTTCTGATTAAAATCAAATTTTAATTTAAGTTAGAGTCAAACAATCAATATTAACCACATCTTTCATAGGTCCCACAACTTTTTAACCACATATTTCAAAAACTTTTATTATATACTACTAAAAATTTAATTCTAATCCCACCAAATAATCATTAAAAATGAAAATTTTAATGTACCTCAAATAGGGGCTAAATATTTTCGTGCAAATACCAAGTTTTCGTAGAGTAATACTTCATCTTTATTGACATGATCGTGATGTGATGTGAACACATTATTTAGTTGCCCACATAAATGGATGGTATCATGATGATCATCTTTAAAAATGAAATGCTATGTGCAGTACAAATAGTAAAATTCCGTTATTTTTCATGCATAAAAGAATGTGAGGGTGAGGGTGAGGGTGAGGGTCAGGGTGAGGGTTGTGTTGTGTAGGGTCCATCACCACATGGCCAGCATTTCAGTGGGGGTCGCATTAGCAGTCATTAGAATCAATGAAATCAGGTCTACTGATTTTACGGGGAATCATATTGATCATGTATGTCAAATTTTTAATTAATTTTCGACCATGTATTTATTAATGGTGTGCTAATTATGCCCTCATTTGATCCCATTATTCATAATTTTTGAAATAATATTTTTTTATTGTAAATGTGTAATTAAAAAAATGAAAAAAAATTTGAAATTACGTGTGATATTTTATTGAAAACTGTACGATTAATAAGAAGATGTTAAAAAATAAATTATAATTTTACTGGAATCCAAATAAATTTTTTCACTTTGATTTAATATCTTCAAATTGTTTGATCCGTCTCTATCATCGCACATACATATTTTATTCAACACAACACAAAAATACAAAAAGGGGATTAACCCAAGACCTCCTAAAAAGGACAACATAAATATAGTACACCACACCTAATTGGTAAGAATTAGGAATGCGTTCGGCCGTTTACTTCTTTTATTTCTTCATCGAACTTATATACTATAATTCATTTTTTAATTAAAAACGAAACATATTGCGTCATAAGCACAAACTTATTGATTATTAAGTTGAAAATGGCAAATTTATTACATGTCGCGACACGAGATTAAATTAAATACTAGAGTTTGATCGAAATTGAATTAATTTTCTAAATCACAAAAGTACAAAATTCTATGATGAAGTCTTGTTAAAAATCCGTACTCAAAAAGTATCCCAACGGACGTACGACAAAGGAAACTGATACACAAAGGTCAAAGAGGCTATTGGGAAGAGCCATTTATCCCGATCCTAATTGCAAAAACCGAATCGAACCTAAATTATTTCACCATCGCTTAAATCTTGCAAGTGGGACAGGATAATGGATTGGCATCTTCTACTCCTTTCGGTGGCTCATTAGTCACATCCAAAGTGACCAACTTTTTCAAGCATATTTATTACACGAAAAATAGCAGTCAGAGTATCAAACATTTTAGTTAGTAATAAAGTTTGTACGAACCTTTCATTTGTGCCACTCACGGTATCAA